CAAAAGGTGCGATATTCAACAGAACTGCATAAAAATTAAAGCAATGAGGGAAATGAAACACCATGAAACACACCATGACAAACTGAAAGTAATAACTTAATGTATTACATTTGCCAAATTTACGAGTTTTATTAATTTAATTTACAAATAATTTCAAATTTGTCAAATTACTTGTGTGCAGGTTTTGCTCTGGAGGACAGAGATCTGATCTTTTTAATGTGCTCTGGTTTGACAGGCAAATGAGAGCACATTAAAAATAACAGGGGTAAATGCAAAGGCAAAACACAGATCTTATTTTTGATACCAGGTATAAGTGGAGTGTCATTGTCACAAGCTGATTTTATTTCCCTTTCAGCATGAATTGTAACTTTGGTAACTTTTATTAGCACACCAACGCACAAGATTAAGATGGTGAACATTGTATGCAACACCAGCATGTTAGCATTGTCATTGTGAGTCTGTTGACTTTAGCATTTAGCTCGCAGCCCTGCTGTAAGTACAGGCTCACAGAACTGCTGGCATGGCTCTAGTATTGTTTCTTTTGAAACATTGCACAGTTTTACCTCTTTAGATCAGTTTGAGAGAGGAAAATCTCTTTCCAAATGAACTGCACACAGTTGAGTGGTCATGAGTAGACATGTTTGTGTATTAATGTTTAAAAAGGGCTGGGGACTGTTGCTCTAGATTAATGACTGCATGAATAAGTTTACTTTAAAGCAATGTGTTTGTACTGTGTTTTCAGTCTACACACTATATATATACTATATACACTATAAAATATATAGGAAGAGGTTGCACTTACAGTACATGTCTCACAGCAGTGAAAGTTATAATGACACAAAACATAAAAATGGTGCAACAGTCTCAGAACTCTCTTTGACCAAAATATATCTACAGGGTTTAATGATTGTCTGCATCCCATGAACTTTGCCATGCAGTTAAGCTAATGAGTCTGAAGTTCAGAGGAAACACAACATTCCCCACAACACATCCCAGGGTGTGTCTGACTGACTGTAACCGAGGAAACCACCCTGTTCAAAGGAGGACATTTTGAAAGACTCAAGCAAGGCAACGTTTTTACCAGGCATCTGTTTCTTATTGCCAGGAAAACCATCCAACCCCCCTTCTGGCTTTAGTTCAATGTAATTAGTCTTGTTTACTACTTTTGCAAAGTTGGAGGATGGAAATTTTGTTCTGCAAAAACAGTTCACACACACACTCGCAGTGTTCTACAGAAAAAGAGCAAAACCTCATTATCTCTTCATAGTTATGGTAACTCCACTGTTAGGACACAATCCTTCCATTAGAATAAACAGAGCCTGCATTGTTGCCATGGAAAATTTGACTGGCTCTCTCTTGAGAAGCACAAAGATGAACGACATGAATGTGGTTTCCATTTTGAGGCCTAGCCACAGATGCTAATAAGACTCTGTGCCTTTGTGGGTAAACGCTAAGCCCTCAATAGACATTTTAAGAATAAGGATGTCCCTCTTTGTTTTTGTTCGCATGAAGTGACTGGGGTTGATCACAGCTTGAGTTTCTACATGTTGAATAACCCATGAAACATCATCTATCATAGGAGCCACATTGTTTTTTCTCCAGCAGAAAGTGTGTCTGTTGCTCATTTGCAGCATTTTATTTGCATGTCTAGTAAATACCTGTTTTGTTTAATGGCTTCAACCAAGGACGGCACGTTACGAGACAGTCCTGCCTCAAAGGTACACCACTGTTGCACAGAACAGACATGATCCTCTTTTCCAGAAGCAGGCATCATGTTGGTTTCATTTTTCCCCATTTGATAAGGTTTATTGGCTTTGTTAGCTGTGATTTATAGTACATGTTAAACTCAATATTTGGCAGCACAGTTTACAGCTTTTTGTCCTTCGAGGTTTTTTCGTTGTTGTGTAAAAATCATTTCACCCTCACTGTCCAGAAAATGTTGAGCTATGTGTCTCATGAAATCATCTGAGTCCTCACATCCTGCATCAGACCTCTCACTGTGACCTAAATATAGTGGCTGTAAACCAAAACTGTGCACATAATGTACAATTTGTGACTTTCTCTTCTTCCCTTTAGAAATTTCCCCTCTGTGGGACTAATAAAGGCATATCTTATCTTATCTTTACTGTGCTCGTGTACACATTTCAAATGGAGCTGAGATTTTAGGAATGTTTTCTCTGAATATTACCTCACTTTAATTATTATTATTTTGTCACAGAAAGGGGGCGTGGCCTCAGGTTTTCAGCATGTGGTGACCAATGACATGAACGTGAAGCGCCTGTTGCACATCAAGGGTCGGAGGGCCATCAGAGCAACAGAGGTAGACATGTCATGGAGCAGCTTCAACAAGGGAGACTGCTTCATTGTTGACTTGGGCAAGGTGAGCTGGATTTGATCTGTTTTACTGTCTGTGTGTGTCTGTGTATGTAGCTTGGTGACATATCCATATACTCATATAGCTCATCTACTATTTATCTGCACTGTAATAGATTTGTTTACTGAGTTAACACTTTAAACAGTTTCTGTTTCTGGTAAGCAGCTGGCACCTGTCATAGCACCATCAGTGTATGTGTGTGAATGGGTGAATGTGACGTAGTGAATCCAACCCCACCCCAAATACTAATTATTGTCAACAGCAATAGCCATTCAATGTATTTATATCATGTAATTACCTCTCTTTGTAGTTAGCTGGTATTAGTTCACTAGTTTGGCTGCACTGTAAACACAAATATTCAGAAAACGGCACTTACCACCAGTAACCACGGTTGTCACCAAATCAACCAGGACTGAACTCTTAAGTATTAATTATAATACCATAATAACTTTGATATCTTTCCATCTCATGCAGGATGTCTATCAGTGGTGTGGCAGCGAGTGTAACCGCTTTGAGAGGCTGAAGGCCTCTGAGGTTGCCATTGGCATCAGAGATAATGAGAGAAATGGCAGAGCCAAACTGCACATAGTGGAGGAGGGGGATGAGCCGGCAGCAGTCGTAGAGGTGACACACACACACACACACACACACACATTCTTGAGCTTATTTCCTTTCCTGTCTCACCACACACTGAAGTTTGCACCTCAAAGGTGACCACTTGTGAGCAGAAGCTATATATATTATTGATGCATTTCACGGCTGGTGAGTTAGTCATCGTGGGAACGAGTGGACACAATGCTGTCCTTTGTAATGCGCTGTTAATGTGCCAACTCTGTGCCAAGGCGGTATTATAAACACGACAACTCTCTTTACAACTAGAGAGGAGGGTAAACTCCAGAGAGGCCTAATGAGGGAGAGGGGGAGGGGCCGGTTTACAGAATATATTTTATATTAATTGAGATGTTTTTTAATCTGAGAAAAGCTGTAGAACACAGTTTAAGAAACAAATCACTTTTAAGGCTGTTGTGTGTCTATTTGCATATGAAAAACAATATTGTAACTGTGAGCACAGGTTATAATTATGACAAAAAAAGACAAGCACAATGATTGATTCCTCTGGTTGTACAGGCTCTGGGGCCAAAGACCGCCATTGCACCCAGTACTCCGGATGATGAGAAGGTGGACACGTCCAACCGAAAGAAGGGTGCCCTCTACATGGTGAGTCATAAAACTGAAAATTAAACGTAATTTCTATATAAGTGACCTAGATTTCTGGGTGGATTATAAAATTTCATAACCCAGATTACAAAGGGATATTTCACTAACATCAGATTGAAATTTATCTTAATTATGAAAAAATATAGTGCTGCATTCTTGTGGTACTGAAGTATTATAGCCTGGATTCAGTCCACATGAATTACAAAAATGCCCAAATATTGTAGATGTTCATTAAGTTATTAATAACTAAATATAATATGAAAATTAGACTATTATTCTTAAATTTTAGGGCTGCACTGATTAAAGAAAATTCCACACTGTGAGTTCATGTATGTACCTCATATGATAATGTCTACACTACCACTTTCTGCAATTACCAAATATATGTATATATAATTGGAGAAAAACAAGTTTGAATATTGTTACAAATGAAAATCTTTTGAGGATGTTACGAGCAGAGCTGGTAGCTGATGGTTTCCCTTTGCTCCGTAGATTTCTGATGCATCTGGCTCGATGAAGGTGTCCGCCGTGGCTCCATCCAGTCCCTTCAAACAGGCCATGTTGTCTCCTGAGGAGTGCTACATCCTGGACAACGGGGTGGACAAGAACATCTTTGTTTGGAAAGGTGCCGACAGCATCACAGACTCAATAACACAGCGGAAAATGATTTAAAACAAACTCCCAACATTAGCTTTCCTCTCTGTCCTCACCTTTTTACTGCATAAAATTATAAACATGCTGGTTCAAACATACACAAATGTTTTTTTTTTATTCTGGATGTGATAATATTGCATTAATTTACACAATTTAGTTTTGGTACTGCTGAGCTAGAACGGCCAAATTTACACTAATTCTGGTCGAAATATGATGAGATTAAATAAAACATCTGCAATGGGACAGGCCCAGTTGATAATCCCACCACATGCCTGCCTTCACTAACCATTGTACTTATACATATTCATTAGGTAGTTTATTACACAGGTTCTTTCTCTAAGTAGCATAAAGGAGAGTCAAATCGCCTTCTCATCATGTCATGTCTTATCTGACTTCACCAGGTCCCAAGGCAAACATGTCAGAGCGTAAAGCAGCAATGTCAGCAGGTCAGCAGTTCATCAAAGACAAAGGCTACTCCAATAAGACACAGGTAAAACTGACATTTTGTTTCCAGATAATTAGTGCGATTAGTGCAAATTTCCCCTCTGTTTGGGAAATTGGGAAAAAAAATGCACACATATAATGTGTGCAATTAAACAAAGGCTAAAATCCCTCCCTGACCTGTTTCCCCCGCAGATCCAAGTTCTTCCTGCGGGAGCTGAGACGACTATGTTCAAGCAGTTCTTCAGCGACTGGAGGGACAAAAACGAGACTACAGGCCCCAGCAAGGGCTACGCCATTGGCCGCATAGCCAAAGTGGAACAAGTGCCCTTTGATGCCTCCAGCCTGCACTCTAACAAGGCCATGGCAGCCCACCACGGCATGGTGGATGATGGCAAAGGCAAAGTCCAGGTAAGAGTACGCATGTTTTGAGTTATGCTTATAGAAGCCAGATGGATAAAACATTGTGGTAAAGTTGAGCAAAACAGATCGTAGACTGGCTTTCAGATTTGGCGCGTCGACAACGGTGAGAAGGTTCCTGTGGATCCCTCCTCCTATGGTCACTTCTATGGTGGAGACTGTTACCTCATCCTCTACAGCTACAGAGTGGGTGGCCGCGAGCAACACATCATATACACCTGGTGAGTAAAAAGAAATATTCATTCAAACATGTATGTACGGTGTAATACTGTATGAATGACGTGCAGAGCTTGTGCTAACATTACCCCACCACACCCAGTGTACGACCACATACACACCAGCAAATGACATACAGACTGTGTGTGTTTCTGTGTCAGGCAGGGGCTGAAGTGCACACAGGATGAGCTGGCAGCCTCAGCGTTCCTCACTGTGAAGCTTGATGACTCAATGGGAGGAGCCCCGGTTCAGGTCAGAGCTCGACACTGGCACACTACTCATCTTTACATCCTGTATAAAAACAAGTTCAGATTCTTGTACAGTCACACAGTAGTCCCCAGTATTTGATAAAACAAACATCAGACTTGTTTTTTTGACTCAAGAGCATTAAAGGTGGAAAAATCCAATGAACAATACATCAAGTAATGATGATAAAAATTGTGGGTTTGCAAACTATCGCTAAAGTTGCTGCTGCACAGCTAACATGCAGAGAGGACGAGCCAGTTTCCCAGAACTAGCACACCAGTTCCAGAGAGCGATACTCACAACTCTCCTGCTATTACAGCTAACATCACAACAACAGCATATCTTGGCAAAGTAGAAAGGAAGAGTCATTTAACTTTACCTGACACACAAATTCTGGCTGGAATTACAAATTAGTGTTGGCTTGGTCCGATCCACTTTGTTTGTTTCCCATCTACAGAGCCAGGAATGTGCACAACCACCAGATTGTTTTCAGGGAACACACAGACTGTGAGAAGATATTCGCTGTATTTGAAAAAAAGTGTATTGGATTAGAAACGCATTACCTAGAATCGCTTAATAAAAATAATGCAATTAGTATTATATAGTAATTATGGTAGGATTTATTTTTCCTAGAAGCTGACATGAATAGACAAAGGTGCAGTCGTTCTCAGAAGTTCTCTGAATATGAGAAGACGTTTGTGGAAGTTGATTAACAGGTTGCAGCAGAGGTTTCAAAATTGAGAACCAATTTGAAACAATATTGTAATAATATAACAGTAATATAATATTAATATTATGTTTACCTTCTTAATAATTAGCTCACAAAGCTTTGTACATAAAGTTGTTTTTTTTGGTGCTATAAATCAGGGGTTCCTAACTTGGTGTTGCCAAAGCTTCAAGGGGGTTACACAGCTTTCTAGATTTTAAGGGGTGTAAGAAATATATTTCTCAGCATTTAATTTATTTCTGTAAAAACAAAAAACTAAATGAAAGTTTAAATGATTATTTATGATCTAAACTTTAAAGACCTGAACACAAGCTATATTCACAGAGACTCTCAGCCTCGCCCTGCATTAGAAAAGTACACAGTCAAAACAACCAAAGAGCTGGGAGTGTCAGGGAAAGAAAACACTGCATTTGTCAAAAACGAAGCCTATTAAGTAAGTATGAATGTTAGAAATAATAATAAAAACAACATAATACGGACAGGAAATTGTATTAAAAGTTCCTAAAAATATCAGGATATAATCTGCTCCAAATAAAATTGCTCGTTGCACACAAACTTCCTTCCTGCAGTTACTGTGTTCACTGTTTGGGTTGATTTTACAGTTTATCAGTTGTTGTTATGTATTAAATAGGATATGAAATATTCAGAAAATATGTGACTTAGTCAGTGGTCATCAGTTTACTCAATGATAGAAAAAAGGGTCTAAGGTAAAAGGTTGGAAACCACTGTCATAAATGATGAGTTTAGTAGCTCAAAGAGAGAGGAGCGCTGTAGAAAGCTGCTGCTGTTTTATTTCTAATAAGGGTTCAGCTTCTCAGATCTATTAAACCTCATTATTACATAGGATTAAAATAAAAAACAACCAACCCCAGACAACCAGCAGAGGGCAGTATCACTGTAATATTCAATTTGATACCTCTCTACTCAAACTACTGCACTTCCATTCATAATTGTTGTGGGAATTACTGAGTGTCCCTTAATAATATTATAATGAGTATGGTCTAGACTTGCTGTATATGAAAAGTGTCCAAACATAACTTCTCTTATGATTCGGTGCGAATAAAATTGAATTGGATATAATTTGACATGCCACATAATAATTTCAGGATTTACAACGTCTTTGTGGTTGTAACTGAGTTGTCCAACAAGTGCTACCACGTGTTCTGCTGACATATGAAGAGTTTAATTTAATATGTTGTTAATTGTTGATACTCTAACCCTCACCAATAATAATGACATCAAACAGTATCAGACATGTCTTTTTTTATTTCCTTAAAATACCATAACCACCTGTATGGAGGTCCATTTACTACATATTACATATTCTTAGATAAGTTTATTTGTGATTTATTCTGCACAGACTTTTGATATTACTGGATATACTGAGGTACAATATGAATAGTCACCAACCTTCATGCTGTTTTTTTTAATGACATAGGTGAGAGTGACTCAGGGCCAGGAGCCTCCACACCTGATGAGCCTGTTCCAGGGCAAACCTATGATCATCCACAGCGGAGGAACGTCACGCAAAGGTGGACAGTCGCAGGCCGCCAGCACTCGCCTCTTCCACATCCGGCAGAGCTCTTCCCGGGCTACCCGGGCTGTGGAGGTAAGCTGTCTGCCAGTACATGAACTTCAGTTGTTGTCAAATCCTCATGGGAAACTGATTTCTACCTCTCACCTGTCTACGTGTTTCCTCAGGTCGAGGCCTCTGCTTCCAATCTGAACACCAACGATGTGTTTGTGCTGAAATCCCCGAACGCCCTGTTTGTCTGGCGGGGTGTGGGTGCCAGTGATGAGGAGATGGAGGCTGCCAAGCATGTGGTAGGCTACCTGGGTGGCACTGCCAGCCAGGTCTCAGAGGGCAAGGAGCCAGGTGGGTGTTCTCTGAGGAGCAATTTAATGTAATATAACAAGGGAGAGGACAAATGATTAGGTTATAATGGTTGTTACTTACTTACTTATCCCTCATATATACATATATGCAGTATTTATTCCTTTATTTATCTGTCAAAGGTGACATTTTAGGGGATATCGTAGACAACACTGGTCTGATTTATGCAATTAAAGAGGAAGGGTGCATCGTCACTCTGTGTGAACATTATACTCATTAGCCTAATGGCTGAGCAGTAATTTAAAGCTCAAAGTTATATGTAAATGAGTTACACAATCTAATTACTACATGCTGTATGTTGCCATGCAGTTCAAGTTAGTTACACTGATTGGCCTGATAAGACATAACTGCTGCATTTCTGGCCTGGCTTTAATTAAACTTGGAAACGTGATGCAGCTTGTTACAGGCTGGGCCAAAGAGCGGCTGCATCAGTCACGGGGGAGGATGTGATTTACTGCCTGTCCAGACAAACAAAGCACCAAATATGGGACGGGCTACCTGGAGCTGATGACTGTTGTACTTTCTTCCTGCCCAGGTGATTTCTGGTCTGCTCTTGGTGGCAAGAAGGAATACCAGACCTCTAAGAGTCTGCAGAACGTAGTCAGTCCCCCACGTCTGTTCGGCTGCTCCAACAAAACTGGCAGACTTGTCGTAAGTCCCTTCAATGCTACAGATGTGATATTTGGATTATCAACACAGTTATGTTAACATTGTAATATAAAATAATCTGCACTGTCTCTCAGGTTGAAGAAGTACCAGGAGACTTCACTCAGTCAGACCTTGCCACTGATGATGTCATGCTCCTGGATACCTGGGACCAGGTAAGATGAGCTTCCTCCACAGTCTAGATAGATGGATACATACTCTTAAAACTCTGCATAACTGGGTGAGTGTTTTTCTCTTCCCTGTAGATCTTCCTTTGGGTCGGTAACGATGCTAATGCAGAGGAAAGGACCGGAGCTCCCAAAATAGGTAACCCCACTGAAAAAAAACCAATGTACCACCAAGATCATACTGTCTTGTTTCAGATACGTGCTGCCAGATAGCACTATAGAGTCATAGTTGTTGGGTCCTACATCCTCAGCAGAATGACAATACATTGTTAAATGTGAATCCTAAAGCAATCAGTCACAACTTCACTTTACAGTACAAATACAGTTTATTTCTTTAAGATCACCATTTAAATGCACTAGCACTACTCCAACACTGAAGGGGGCATTAAAGTAAATATGATCTAATATAAATCCATATTTTTATTCATTCACAGTAGTAGTGAATGCTGCCGTCGATCCGTCAAACCTGGAGAGGACTTTTATCCAAATATGTTGGTATATGTTTACTGACCTGGAAACTTTCACAGTATTGACCATGTACATCCAACACAGACACACTAATGAGGGCTTTTCATGCCTACTGAATATACAATGGCAGGATTGTATGTATGATGGGGCAGTATTAATCTATTTACGTCTCATTAGCTGCACATTCAGCTACAACATCATAAAGCTGCACTAATCAATATTTTTATATTAACAATCAACAAAAGAATTACCCTTGTAGTGACAAACCATAAACAAAACAATAAATATGGAGCTTTTTAGCCTCTTTGGGCTTATTGTGCAATTGCTTATTACTTATTATTGCTTTACTATGATTCACTCTAAAAAAATTTAAATATGTAATATGCTTTCTATGTCTGAATAAGTCTATTGACTATCTATATAAGGATTTTTTTGTCGCTATCTTGTATCTCTCTATTAAAGATTCTATTGGGTGATCCAGTGCTGTGTGTGATATCATAAGAGTGGAGCATTTAGCAGCTAAACAGTTACAGATATTTCCTTCAGGAGTTGGATCTGAAGGGAAAGTGAATATCCGACTTGCCAAGTGGCCACTACTCCATGTGTTCAACATATAAGCATACAAGGTTATTTACAACCAAGTGGCAAAAAATGTTTATGTTTCCATCCAAAGTCTGTATCCTGCAAAGTTGTTCTGTTAGATTTCGACATCTTCTCACTTCCTGTCTCCTGTCTGCGTGTCTGTCTCTCTATCCATCCCTTCCTCTATCTACTTCCTGTCGTGCAGCAAAAGAGTATGTGGACTCAGACCCGTCTGGTCGCAGAGGACTGCCCATCACCACCATCAAACAGGGAGCAGAACCTCCAACTTTCACTGGCTGGTTCCAGGCTTGGGATCCCAAGATGTGGGAGACAGACCCACTGGACAGAATCCGTGCACGTTTCTGAACACAGACCTCCAGGCTCTCTCTACCAATCTGACTCGTTACCTGCCCAGCACTTCCTGTTGCCATTTTGTCTTTTATCTTAACTCCGATTCCCTAAGTGCCAAAACCAATGTTATCACTGTTATCAGGTTGAATGGCTGCCTCAATGCCTTGGTCACGGTGCAGTGCATCGGACTTTGTTAATAGGAACGCTTCACATCGGTAGTCACATGGCTTCCTGTAGCAACATTATCTCTAATTGATAGAAGTGGTTTATTGATCTGTTGCATCCAAAAGCTTGTCGCCTTCACTCTTTATCTAAGCCCCTCATATAAACAGGATATTGGGAAAGGAAGCCATTTTAGACAGCTGGTTCCTCTCTTTCACTGCTTTCACTGTTCAGAAGACACCATCATGCGTTCCTCTCTGTCTGTCTTCAGTCTTTGTTTCATAATGAACAGTTTACCCCATCACTATGCCCTGTCTACATGTGTTGTGTTTAATCATTGGTTGCGACAATGTTGTACACTTACTAGAAGCTGCATGCTGCTTTTTTTTATTATCATATTCTGTGCTTGTGAATTTTAAAAGGCATACAGCGGTATGTACGTGTGTCACTCTTTATTACTTGACCCTGAAATGCTCACATGGATGGCTTTTAAATAAAACTCCCAGTGTTTCAAACCTGTGTTTTGTATCTGCACATTTTCAATGAGTAAAGGAATGAGATTAATCCTGAATGTGCACCAGCAGCATTTATAATCTGAATCCAACCTACAGAAAGTGTCAGACGGTTTATCAACCAGCTCTCACTGAGTTTCTCTCTCGGGAAGAGAGGACGGGATGTTGGTGCAGCTCGGAGCATCTGTCTAAGTAGGAAGAAGACATGAAAGCTCAGTTCACAGCTGTGCAGACACTCCGGTTTCTCAGAGAAGAAACAGCAGCCAGAAATACAACCAGGAAATTTATATATCCTGCAATGAAATTTGAGAATTGAGACATAGAGTGTTGTGTAATTTGTGGAAACCCGATGACCTAAATCTATTCTGTGAGGGACAGAAAAACAATCCAGGCAACAGTTCTTAAAGGATGGCTAAATGAGCACTTTAATCATTTACCTGTGTAATTAAAACTCACTTAAAAGGACTCTAAAGAGACAGATTTACCAAATACATAAACAATTACATTACATCAATATTAATATTAATATTACAATAATATTCAGCCTCAATATCATCAGTTTTAGGGAAATGTAAAAACTCATTGGGGTGAGACAACTCCAGCTTTTTCAAAATGAGTTGTTTGAGGGATTTGGGAAAATACATGACAAAGAGATCAATCATAGAAACTACAAATTGTGCATCTCCAACAGGGCAAACTCAATCTACAGATGAAGATCATGCCGTATGACTGAAAGCTCAAAAGCAACCACTAAATGGACCTTGCAGAGAGGTTGTTTTCTCTACTGCTGTTTTGTACCGAAGAGGTCTTAAATGCTCAGAACAACGTAAACATCTGCAGTTCTGGGTGATCCCTATGTGCTGATGAAGATCATGTGAAGTGACAGAAAGCTCCAGAGCTGTCCTTGTGGTCAAGAAAAATCTCCTCTTCTTTGCACACATGCAAGGAAAAATAGATTCAAGACCCAATGCCATATTAAACCAGTTAATGTAAAACAACACTTTTATATGTGTACTATCTCAAACTAAAACCACAGAACACTGTTAAAATAGTGTCTCTGCTCATTTAGCAGATGACACGCAATCAAGAACAGGCTTTGAAGGACAATGTGTTGACGGTTATTGAGCAACTAAACATAACACAGGACCTCTAAAACCTTCCTTTAAATAGCCCCTGCACGCTATTACCGGCATTCAATGACACGGTAACCTGCATTACCAGCCTCTATTGCAATGCGGTGGCGCTCCACAGATCTCTCCCGGTCTTGTGCAGCCTGTTCGGGGATAAAGCTGAGTGCTATTCGGTCATGTGATTCCTGATTTTTTTTTCTTTTTTTTTTTTTCTTCCTCCTCCTTCTGAGTTGAAAGGCAGGAGCAGCGCAGTGGAGGGGCCCAGCTTGCTTTCCTAGTGGCCGTTGATGCAACGTTTTCGTTCCCCCTTTTTTCCCACCACATTATTGTTAGTTTCTCGCTCGGTGTGATATTTTTCACTCCAACCTTTCCTCCACGATGGCGGGGGCTATTATTGAAAATATGAGCACCAAAAAGTTGGTGATAGTGGGAGTTACTCTGCTTTTGTTCCAGGCGTTTGCCTTCATGGTCGGCGGTTTAATTGGTGAGTTTTTCCCTCTTTTTTAATGCTTTTACTTTTTTGTTTTCTCTGTGAGCTAACAGTTGAGTCTGCGCGCGTGCCTGCAGGGGATTTAAACGTTAACGGCTGTAAAACGGCTGTAAACGGCAAAAGCACAAAGTTTAAAGTTGGTGAAATGCCTCTTTTACCAGCGTTAATCACTGTTATCACGTTAAGAAAAGACGACAGGCGCTAACTTTCAGCTGTGTTTTACCTGCCGAGGGTTGACCGAGTCGAGCCGACAACAATGCGGTGCTTTGAAACAGTCACTTCGACACTAGCAGCCGGAGTGCACCTCCGCTAAATCACTGCTTTGTGTCAAGGTGTTTGCTGCCTGCATGCCTCAGTCGTTGAATATATCTGCGGCTGGAAACAACGCAGGGCACCATAGTTTGTGGGTTCATTTCTGATTTTCAACACATGAATGCTCGCTTCACATACAACCTTGTGTGTTTATTTATTTAATTTTTTTCAACTCTTTGATCCAAACTCGAATGTTCCTTCCCCCACTCTTTCTCTCCTTTTATACCTCCTCCTCCTCCTCCTCCT